ATATTGTACTAATCCCTTTGATGAAAAGCAAGAAAGAAATCTGAATTATTCAGAAAAATTATTATTCCTTTTTTACCAAAATTCTTTACAATGCATTCTTTACCAAACTTCATGTGCGCATATCCTTCAACAAAATGAGGTTGAGCACAAAAATCATCTTATTGAAACCACTTAGATTCTCTTACTTTAGATTCTCTTACTCCATGGCAATGTTCCTTCTGGTTTTGAGACGATGTCATTTTCACTACTTGCTACCTAATAATTTCAGAATAAATACTAATTCAAAAATAAATAACTTCAGAATAATTTTCAGAAATCAAGCAACGATGGAGCGTATTTATTGGGGTGCAATCAATGGGGATCAATTATTGTGGTGCATAACAATACATTGAGATGTCATAAATATTTGAAATAGTTGAGATAATATTCGAACGGTTTTGGAGTTTCTAGTCGAGATTTACCCGGGTACACCCCTCCCTACCCGGGTAGGCATAAATTTTCAAAAAATACTCGGGTAGGGAGGGGAGTACCCGGGTAGGCTTCCTGGTCAACGGTCAAACAGGGGCAGATTGGTGTTATGTTTTCTGGAGAGGTTAAATTTTTGAAATAGTTTATAAATAGGGTCAATTTGGTAATTAATTATTAAAAAAGGCTATAGTGGTCAAAAAGCCCATGTTATTATCACTCGTTTGCAAGAATAATAAATTATACTTTATTCAAAACAGTGATCAAAATGTCACTCATCATTAACTTTTTTATCCAATACGACATGCGGTCAAGTTCCAGTACTCAACAAACTTCATTTGCTAATATGACATTTTTTTAGTATGTAGTTCGCTACTAATAGTGATGAAGTGTGGTAAAAAATGTCAAGCATTCACTTGGACAAGTTCGCTGCATAATACAGCAAACTACATGCTAGTTGGTGTGGTTAAGTTGCTAAGGAGAAATGAAGGCCCTATGTCTTCACACACTGACTCATATATCTTTCAACACTGAAATTTCTTTGTTTGGAGAGAGAGGTAGAAAAAAAAAAGATGGAAAGAAAAAGTGAGGATAATTACGTTATAAAAAATAAAAAAAAAAGCTGGTGAAGTGTTAGTGTGTCTATGATAAAAGCTGAATTTCTTTTTTGTTTTTTTGAAAGGGGAATAACCCGTTTACAAATTATTTTACAAATTATACTAAGTATGTCCGGTCATTAATTGAAGTATGACTGGTCATACTTAGCGTAGTTTGTAAGAGTTTGTAAACAAAAAGTTTATAAATATAACCTTCCCCTTTTTGAAATACTAAAAGTTGAACTTTTGAAAAGAAAGAGAGAGAAAATGCAAGGAAGGAAACAACTTTTGTCAAGTGAAAAAACTACTATTACCAATAAAGAATAGAAGGGACGGACATGACCAGCTTTCGTTATACCAAGATCGCTAGATTGTATAGCGAATTTGGAAAAAAATTGCCACGTGTCTTATTTTTATTCGAGCAGACTGTCATTTTTATTATACCAAGTTCGCTAGACTGTATAGCGAACTTGGGGAGACTGCCATGTGTCCTGAAAATAATTAAAACAGACTGACATTTTGACCACTACTACCAATAGCGAACTAGTTGTCCATCAGAAACGTGTCACGCCAGCAAATGAAGTTCGCTATCTGCTGTGGCAAATTTGTACGCGTGGCATATTGAAAAATAACATTGTTCACGTGGCATTTGGATAAAAAAGTTAGTGAACAGTGGCATATTAGTCACTGTTCCGCTTTATTCATTCGAATTAAAAAATTCGTATTTAATTATTTATGTAATTAAAAAAGAATTAATATTTTTTAGGGTAAATACCATTTTTGGTCCTCAGCAAATTTCACGATACCCGCTTTAGTCCCTAGCAAATAAAAAGGCTCATCGTAGTCCCTAAGAAGTTCAAAATGGACTCATTTAGTCCTTTTAGGGACTAATATGGGTCTTTTTTGAATTTGTGAGGGACCATGATTTCAACTAAATAGGTCCATTTTGAATTTAGGGACCACAATGGGCCTTTTTATTTGTTAGGGACTAAAACGGGCATCGTGAAATTTGTCGAGGACCAAAAAAGGTATTTACTCTATTTTTTATGTTATACATTTTTTTTTATCTCCTAATACATATGAAAATATGTGACCTGTAAAAAGAAAATATAGACCACATATATTTTTATGTATATATAAAAAATAATTTTATCTGTTATATTATGAAAAATATTAAAATCCTTAAAAACAATTAAATATAGTTAAAAGCAACCATCAATACAGGAAATATAATTTATATTGATGTAAAATAATTCGCATATTTTTATTTGTGTTTCATGCAAAAAAATTGATTTAGAAAAAAAATTCAAAAAAAAAACAATTGCAATTAAATTGAATTTTTTTTAACACATTCACCGATTAATTGATTATCGGATTAATACGACTGAAACACTACCATTTTCCCAATTTCAGTCGAAATTTTTTTGTTTGAGAATCATGTTAAAATTTAGATTGCCATTCAGAAAGAGAGAGAGAGGGACACGAACCTATAATGCCAACAACGTTACGAGCTATTGCAGCGCCCCCCATTTTCGAAGATCTTCTTTCTGCAGAGAAAGTTCAACACAAATTCACAGAAAGGGAGATAAAGAGAGAAAGAGATATGAACTTTGAATTGAAGCATACGCAAGCGAGTGAAGGTACTGTTTATATATTAGAGGTTATTTATTTATTATTGAAAGACTAAATATTTTTTTTGTGCTCACCAAATATCACGATACCCGTTGTAGTCCCTAGCAAATAAAAAAGCTATTTGTAGTCCTATGAAATTTAAAATGTATACATTTAGTTAAAATCGTGGTCCCTCATAAATTCAAAAAAAACCCACATTAGTCATTTAAAAGGACTAAAACGAGTCTACTATAAATTTCTTAGAGACCACAAATTGTCTTTTTATTTGCTAATAAAACTTGCTGAGGATCGAAAAAGGTATTTACTCTTATTAAAAATAGTCAAATTTATTTTCAGGTCAAAGGTGAATCCACTTATATTTTTCCTTTTTTTTAAAAAAAGTGCCTTGCAAACAAATGTTGGTCCTGACATTAGTGCATTCTAGTTAATATCCTTTATATAGTTAGAATTAAAAAAATGTATAGTTAATTAATTATAAGAGAATTTAAATTTAATATTAAAAATAAAGAGAAAGTAATGACATATGTCATTTTTAATTTTTTTAATATTAAAAATTACATATGTTATTTTCTTTAAAAAATCTTTAAAAGAAAGTAGTTAAAAATGAGACATGTCTTTCTTTTAAAAAAAATATTTTCCGCAAATTGATTTTATTTTTACCTAAAAAAATAACACGCGAGAGTTTTCTCCTATCCTTCTACGTAATACCACCAAACTTCCACCCGATTAATTAAACGCAATCCAGTGATTGTGTTTCATTAAACCAATCAATTCCAATACAATCATATATATGCGAAACAAAATTACCTCTGGTGATAATAATGATATATTAATGTTGGATAATATATCATCCCCTACATTAAAGATATATGAACAAGAATGCCATAATCTCTGATGAAAGTGTGTGTGTGTGTGAGAGAGAGAGAGAAGTACATAGCAAATGAATTACGGGCAAGATTTGAAACTCTCCCAGCAAACTTGCTTTGTCTGATTTCCAGCTACGGAGACTCACAGAACCATCTGAAAATCAAGAGAATAAGAAATGAAACAACTTTGCTTGAAACTGTAAAAGTATAAAAACAAAAATCAAATTTTGAGCAAAGGGGTTTGCTTATTTGATCCAATTCATAAGCAGTAACCGGATTCGGATCCAAGTGAAACTATTTTTAACCAAAAAAAGAGAAGAAAAGTGGTTGATTTTCAGAAGAGGGGTGAGTGGAAAAATAAATGTGGAGGAGAGTACCTGGAAGTGGAAAGCGGAGAGTACCTGGAACTGGAACTGGAAGTGGAGAGAAGGAACAGATCTGAGAAATGCAGAGGCAGCATGATTGCACGGAAATGATGTAGCTACCATGTTGCCGGAAACAGGCAAAGAGTGAAAACAAAGTAGGCTTAGATAACTAAGCAATTTTGGACATTGAGGTACTATGAGCTCGTTTTCGATGGATTTTTTTTTATTTAACCTATTTCTTTTTTAAGTTAAACATTTTAGCTTTTAATTAACGGAAATGATGGGCAACATTAATAAACTTTCATTTCATCCTAATGGAATAGAATGTCAAATGATTTTTGCTCGTTGCTTATTGCACAACTTTGTACGTATAAACATGACATTTGATCCCGAACAATTTGCTCCATTTGCAAAAGATGCGGTACTCTAGCCAAAGAATTCATCAACATATATGGTTGGAACTATTTGAGACTGGCAATGAATGGACTCAAATGAGAGATGTACTTCCACAAGAAATTTTTTTAGAGTGGACTCACATGAAAATTAGACAACAAGTAGTTTAGTTCCATGTCGTTACATTAATGATGTTGTAACATGACTGAAGATGAATTCATGTCCTTGTATATTTTTAAGGTGATTATTTCTTAAAAATTTTAATTGCAAATTAATGTGGTTATGCAGAGAGTTTTGATTTGAATGGGATTTTTTATTTGAGTGATTGTGATCAAATATATAGAACATTTTTTTACATGAGAGATGATCCAAATCCAAAATATATAATATAAAGATTTGCATAATTTTCTTACAGGTATGAGTGCACTTAATTTTTATTGAACTTTTAAATGCAAGCAGATGATCGAACATATATGGTCTCAAAGTTGGTCTGCGAAAATATGTACACATTTGACTTCAAAATTTCGGAAGTTTAAAATGAAAAATCATATGTAAGCATCACATGCATATTATAAAATCCACCACCATACATATATAAAAATCTCTATTGTCATTCCAAATTAAAGGATAGATAGAAGTATAAAAGATCAAGAAGGAGTAAAGTCATAGAGAAGAAAGTGTCATCAAACTGCACTTCTTCCATTTAAGGTAGAAAGCTGAACCCCACTTGGCTTTAAGTCACGATCACCATCATCATCATCTTTTTCTCCCTTGTTGGAGCAGTAGCAAGCATATAGCATGAGTTGAAAAAGTCCAGAGATTGCTCCAATACCGTTGCTAATCTACAAGAATATACAAAAGGTAACAATATGGGAAACAAAAATTTCATTCAAGAACTATAAATGATTGAAAAGAAAGAAAAATCATAGAGAGTGAAAAGTAAGGTAATTAATTACCAAAACATAAATGTCAAAGGGGTGGATGAGAGCATAAGTTGTCCAGCACACACCATTAAGGAAGTTAGCCAGAGAGAGCCAGAATGGCATGTATTTCACACTCTTAGTTTTTATAACCTTTGCCTGTTCATTTATATATATAAGTTGGAGTGAAAAAAATTTATAAGATAGACTTCAATTCATATATGAATATATGACCTTATAATGTAATTAAGTTATATGGGATATGTAAATTAAAGACTTACCATGATTGTAAGAGGAGCGACATACATCATAACATTGAAGACATCACAGAGAACACCAACCACTAACGACCTTCGGTGAGTGCCATGCAGAGCCAGCATTGTTATAAGAACAATGGCAGCAAAGAAAATAACCTCTATGAAAAGAAAAAGAAGCACCTTTTTCTGAAATTAGAGGGAAGAGACAGTAAGTGGCAACCATGAATTGGAGCATCTCCTAAACATTCAATTAATAAAGCAGAGATTATTCAAAAATATAAAAGTTTTCTTAATCAAATCGATTGTGATATGCCTATGTATCCATGATGGTAATTAACATGTCTTATTTTTCCTTTGGAGTAATCTAATTAACTTGGACATGTTGAAAATTAGTAAGCCAAAAAAGAGATACAAGGGAATTAATCACTGATATTATTACTATAGGATGATAATAATCATCTTCTTAAATCTTAATTATTGTTTGGTATGTGCATTTGACATCTTGAGATTTATAGGGCTTTCCTTTAGTATTTCTCTATCCACTTTATATTATAATAATATATTATGTATAATTGGAGAAAATATCTTCTATACTCGCGTGATACCGAAAATTAAAACATTTTTATTAAATTTGAAAAAAACAATGTAACTTACTTTTACCATTTTTTCCAACCACTTATAATTATTCTCACTTAAGTCCCACATTTTACTATTTTTAGCAAAGGAATAGATATGCCTATAGTACCAAGATAATTGGAATCCACCATTTAATAAGTTATCTACGACTATATGGTTGCTGGCTGACAAATTTCTCACAAAATAGTAATTTAAAAATGGGATAAATGTTTCTGCAGTTAATGCAGATAAGTTATCTGCTTCAAAACGACGTCGTTTTGGTATTGAAATCTTAAAAAATTATAAATATAAAGACTATTATAACCCTAAAATAAATTAAAATTACAAAAGCACCATGATTTCTGCCCCAAAACGACATAGTATTGGACTTACTGCAGATATCTTATCTGTAGTAACTGCAGAAAAAGCAAACCCATAACCAGCAAAGAACGAGTTATTTTCTTATCAACTAAGCAGTGGGAAAAAGAAAAAAAGGTGTTTGACATCAAATTAAACTTACTGTTGAGGATGCAAAAACTGGTAATTAATCTCTGCACATGCACATCTTACGTAAAGGGACCAGTATATTTGTTTATAGTAAAACAACAATTATAAGAGAGAATCTCCACGTACATGAGTGATTATTAACTTACACAAAAACAAAATATCACATCAATTATAAAAGGATACATCAAGGTATACCTTTTATCTAATCTCAATGTTTTTTAAACTATTACTTAATCACTATTACTAATAGTTTAATTATAATAATCACTACCTAAAATATGTTTAGAATAAAATTAAAGTCTTATTTTTTAAAAATTAACTCTTTAAATATTTCTAATTAACTCTCAAGTATAATTATGCATAATAATTAAATTATAATTTCTTATGCTATTTTGATTTGTGAATTTAATGATAATAATATTTCTAACCCTAAAGTCTTATTTCAGATTTTGATGTTTTTTATGTTTTCTAAATTTATCTTTGATAAATGTATATAAAAATAAAATATTAAATTTATCCATATAATTAGGATTTCATTAAGATTTTTTTATTTATCTGAATTTTTTATTATCTTTATGCTATTAATATTCTTTAAGCATCTTATATTATTATTCGAACTTTTACAACATATATAGTGTATTGGTATTTCTTTCCTTCAAAGATCATCGAAATCTGATTTATTATATAAAAGGAGCACTATGAATAATTTAAGAAATATTCCAAGTTTATCAATCACCTAAACTTTTGTTTACTTTTGACTCCTTAAATAGCCATTGTCATAGTCACCAAGACTAATTTTGCTGGCGTAGCATTCATAACTAGGAATTTTTTCAATTACCATGAAACTTACCCAATTCAGAGGCAAAGAAAAAAAAACCATGAGATGTTGATACTTCAAAAGGATTATATAGGCCATTCTAGACATTTTAGTATTTTACATTATTGGCAAGAGAATTAATGAAGGATTCAAATGATAATGATGCGAAAAAGCATAGATGAAAAGCATACATACCCGTCCTTTGTCGCTGGCATAGATACAAAATATGGTAAGATAGACAAACTCGAACACAAGCCCAACACTATTGATGGTGAGGACTAAAATGCTATGTGGGTGCACAAAAGGTAATCCATAGAACACCCAAAACGCACAATTCAGCAACGTAGCTATGTAAGGATCAGGCTTGAACTCTTCCACTGACTTGTTCTTTATAATTCCAAAGAAAGTAGGACTGCAATTCATTTGAAATAACCCAATAAATATATATCTCAAAAAAGAAAACAGTGCATTATTATTAACTACAAGTAATTCTTTGGCAATATAATCAATCAATACTTAATACATTACTACCTCATTTCAACATATACGTAGTTTTAGATGAAAAATTATTTTTATTTTATTTGTTATTTAAAAAATTGAGATGATATATTAATTTATTTATTTTATAACTTTCTTCCATTATTACTTACATTAAACATGATAAAACAAGGCACTAATTAAAGTATTTTAATATAAAATAATTTTAAAAAAATTGATTTTATTTTTTATAATTGAGATTTAATACTTTAAAAAACAGAGATGATATTAATTGTTCTTTTAATTTAATCCTTTTATTATTTACATTAAATAGAATAAGGTAGCACATTAATAAGAGCATGATATTTTTAGTATTTTAATAGAAAATAATCTAATCAAACGCAATTACATTCATTTATAACTGAGATTACTAATAACTTTTTTAATCCTTATCTACAAACACTTGACCATCTATATTTTGAAGACAAAATATTAGTATGTCATAAATATGCTTTAACTATGCGTGATTCAATAAAGAGAAGCGCGATGAATCATGGAGCGGTGCATATTACAATAAATCCCAACATAACAAATAATAAAAAAAAAATACAAAATAAAAACAAAGAGTCAAAGAGAAAGAGGAGAGTTTACGTACGCAGGTGAAAAGAACAAGCCGAAGGAGATGACATTGCCTGCACAGAAAAAGCAAAAACGTCAGAACATAGACAACTCAGTGCAGTGCTTAGCATCCTAAACGGATCAAACATTAACATTTTTTCAATGATAATATGTACCTTTGTTGGGCATGTTATTATTACACCTTTGCAAGAATAACAATTTATACTTTACTCATTCATATTAAAAAAAACTCGTATGTAATTATTTATGTAATTAAAAATTAGAAAAATTAAATATAATTAAAATCCACAAGATTGAAAATGTAATTTATGTTGATGTAAAATGATTCACACGTTTTTATTTGATTTTCATGCGTAAATTCATTTTTTTTTAAAGAAAAAACTAAAAAACACATTTACAATTAAATTGAAAATTTTCTTCTTCTTCTTCTTCTTTTTTTACCAAATAATGATAATTCAATTGAGCATGAGAGCTGAATAGATATGGTAAGATCATGTTCGATCCTCGGTATATTTTCTGAAGTGATTTAAAGCCTTAATCATGAATTGTTCAGAATAAAATTGCTGGTAGTTTATCCAAAAAAAAAAAAAAAAAATTAATACATTCAACGATTCATGATTAATTCCCTCCCAAAACTATTTTCTCTATTTCGCTCGAAAAAAATTTCTTTCAAAATCATGTTAAAATTCAGATTGCCATTCAGAGAGAGAGAGGGACACAAACCTATAATGCCAACAACGTTACGAGCTATTGCAGTAGCGCCCCCCATTTTCGAAGATCTTCTTTCTGCAGAGAAATTCAACACAAATTCACAGAAAGGGAGAGAGAAATTAAGAGAGAGAGATGAGCTTTGAAGCATACAGAAGACAAGAGAGTGAAGAGACTCTTATATATTTCTGTACTAGAGGTTTATTTTTTTTTATTTTTTTTGGAATGATGAAAATATAGTCAAAAAATAAAAAGAACCTAATTAATGTCTTATGGTCAAATGTATTTTCAGTTCAAAGGTGAATCAACTTTTTTTCTTTTTTTCTTCAAAAAATTGTCTTGCAAACAAATACTATTCCTGAAATTAGTGCATTCAAGTGAATATCCTTATTAGTTAGAATTAAAAAAATATATGGATAAAAAAGATAGTTAATTATAAGAGAATTTAAATTTAATATTAAAAAATATAGAGAAGTTAAGAATATTTGCTTAAAGAAATTTAAAATGAGGTGTTATTTTCTTAACAAAATCTTTAAAAGAAAGTAATTGAAAATGAGAAATGTTTTTCTTTAAAAAAAGAATAAAATAATAAATTAAATTATTTTGAGTGAATCTATTTTAATATATAGAAGTGTATATAACTACATCTTTTTTACACTAAAACAAAAAAAATTCCTAAAATTGATTTTATTTTTACCTGAAAAAAATAACATGCAAGTTTTCTCCTATCCTTCTACTTCTACATAATACTAATTAATACCATCAAACTTCCACCCGATTAGGACGTTTTTTTTTTTTTTTTGGTTTCCCAAGGTATCCTCCACAGTCGAAGACTAATCCTTTCGAAACGAGAGATCACATTAAGTGGTAAACCTCTTCCAACAAAGTCTTTTCCATACACACGGCCAGGAATCGAACCCCTGCCAGCATGTTTAAGGAATCCAGCTATCTACCAATTGTGTTGTGCTTCTAGATAATGTAATCTTTGTTTTTGATAAAAAGTACAAGAGAAATCCGCGTTTTAATATTTATCTTACTATAGACAATAATCTTGGTCAGGACGGTGTCAAGTATTATCCTGAAAAAAAGTTGATAAATATCATTTACTTTTTTTCTAAATATGCTTAATTATAATGACAGAGGGTATGCTTGAATTTTGACTGATCTCCAATTTGCTATCCTTTCAGTCAACTTCATCAAAAGCAAAGAATCATACTAGAAAAGGTAAATGATATTGATAGTTATCTACATGGTTGAATTCTCTCGCATCTTTTACCAAAATAGAAAACGTATACAAAAATATTTTTGAAAGTCTTAAAACCTATCTTTTATATTTTTTATGTAAATTATTTTTTTTCTTACCTTTTAAGAGGATTAAGATTTCTCTAACTACAAATACAATGAAATAAAATTAAATCTTAACAATTATGTGCTCTTTATTTTCATAAGTTTTTTCGGTTGACCTTTATTTGTTATTTTTTCAAATATTTAAAACTTAGATATTCTTAATTTATAAAGAAAAAAAAACTTAACCATACCACTTTGTTTTAAAAGGAATACTCGCTTTCTCATAAGGTATGAAGATATCCTAGAAATTAAAAAAAAAAAAAAAAAAGTTGCTAGCTCACGTTTTGATTCTGGGCCTTCAATATCCTCAACCTAACAATTAGGCAAAGGACCACATTCTCAAATATACGCATGTGCTACAACTTTGTTTGTTTACGTGGAAAAGGGTAAAAGATCAAACATACAAAAAGTGGAACAATGCACTTATTGGAAATAATGCTGCACCAGTGGTACATTGCTTATATTATAATAGCGTTCCAACTTTGCCAAAAAAAAAAACTTATGTAATTACAATTATATATTAAGGTTAGTATATAGTTACAATATTAAAATTATTTTTTCTTCTTCGTTATGTCAACTGATAGCTTTTTAAAAAAATAATTTTTAAATTTACAACTATATATTATCCCTAATATATAGTTGTAATTGGTTAATCGACTAAATATTTACATTGAACTAAATATTAATACTACTTTAGAAAAAGAAAATTTGATAATGCCCTTTATAATTGTGTAGAATATGAATATAGAGCGCACTATATAACAAAAATGTGTTCACATTTTATTAGCAGTTAGTTAAGGATTAGACTTTGTATCCGATGCAAGTTCGGTTAATGTGAAAATTTTGTTGGTAGTGTAGTTTGTAGTTACTCTCGTAAATTCTTAAAGAGATTAAGGATTTGCCCTAGCTCTAGTGGAATATTGGCATCTAATTCCACCTAATTTTTTTTTAAAAAAAAAGAAGAAGCATTTTTAAGTTGATATCCTAACATCTAAATACTACGGTGTTAAATTTTTTGTTTTTATTAATAATACAGATAAGCCTCAGAAATTTTTTATTAGCATAATTTTTATATCATGAGATTCAGCCAAATTTATACCTTATTCAACTTACATATTTAATTTGTTGAACAAATTTAAAATCATTTTCGATAATGTACTGATTGAACAAAATAAAATAAACCTATGTATTAGCCCTTCTTATAAAATAATGTTACGATTATGCTACAAGCTTATTTTCTTCTAAAAAGAGCTATACATATATCTATTAAATCTTTATTCTTTAACTCCAATTGTTTTTAATTTCATTGTAGCTGTTATGTCAGACATTAAACCAACAACATCTCTCTTCAATGGAGTACTTATGTTATGTAATGTGTCTCTTTCAATAGGCCCTTTTTCTTTTGTATTAACTTTTTACATGAATTTGAGTCGTGACAATTCATTCTTCCTTTTGAGAAATGACTATTTCAAAATGAGCGACTAAGGAAAAGACTACCCAATACCAAAAGAATCCAGAGTCTATAACCAAAATGGAGCATATGCATCCTTTTTTATCTTTCGAATCATAACATTTCCACTAAATTGTCGCTTTTTTTACTCTCGTTCTTTCTCTTTATCCGGGAGATGGGTTTAAATAAAGAGAAAAAGAAGTATCCTTTTGATTGACACAAGTTTGTGTCGTTTCAGGTGTTTTACACTGGTCGTACTTTGTGTAAAACTGAAAAGTTGCTTTTTTCTCTCTCTCTTTCCAGTCATATCGTTGACATGTAAAGTGAAAAAAAATAACTTTTCATAATTACACAGAGTACGACCGGTCGTACTCTGTGTAAATTAATAAAATGACACAACTTGTGTCCTTTTAAATGACACACACTAAACCCTTAAATAAATAGGCATGAAAGTTATAATTATGGATTTAATATTTTATTTTATTTTTCAATTTCTCTACCTGATCATCAATTAATCGATTAATCCGAGTAAGACCATAAAAACAGCAAAACTCTTTTTTCCAAATTTTTTACATAGTTTCGTATCTAGAACTCGAACTCGAAATTCACCCTTTATAATGAGATCCCCTTGTTTCCGGAGGCTAATTGATTAGCTTTTTTTTTTCAGTGATAAAATAGTCCTTAAAAAAATACTTAATCTTGATTAACTAACCCAAAAATTAATTGCAATATACTATCAATGTAAATTGTAAACAAGCATGGAATTAAGAACAAAAGTGATCGGAGTGATGGTCAAGAAAATTGAGCACACCTTTTCAGTAACCTCTGGTTGGTTGGTGTTGTCACGCTTTGCCAGATTTGTGCGCTGAGCATCAATCTTTGATGAGGTTGTGGATAAACGTTCGGAGTACAGAAAGTAAATGAGTTTGTGTGGAAGAGTAAACTGGTTAGAGAAGGATTAATAAATAGTGGAATCAAATATCCAACACACTTACTACTATAGAGAAAGTTACCAATGAAAGTGAAGTAAACTAATGGAGAATGGATTGGTCTCGTTGGCTCTGATTACTGCAAAGAACATGGCCATTCTCATCAAAGTCGAATATTATGTTGTTGCTAGCTAAGAATAGGAAAAGGTTTTATAATTTGAAATCCTTTATAGCTTTGGATTCTGCTACAGATTGGGATAGAGAGTTTGTAACTTTAAGGGGTGGCTTTAAAAAATGCTTGATCAAGCAAGTGCTAGAAAATGTTGGCTATGTTGTGTGGCAGTCCTAATTATATACGGTTTTGACTCTCTCTTTTTTGGTAGTTGCTTTCATTGATTATATAGGGAGTATCTGGAAAGCAAAGTGTTAATTTTCTATTTGCTCTGTGTATATAAAAATATTAACAGGAATTTGAGGTCTAGAGAAGAGATGGTACGTGATGTATGTATATGGATTCTAAAAGGTACATTTTATTGTTTCAATCACGGATGAGATTGGTGGAACTTGGATTTTTTGTGATGGGGCCGAAAAAAAATAAAGTTATAAGTATTATTAAGAATAATAAGATGAATTATTATTATAAGTATTTTTTAAGAAGAAATTAGCTATTAGTGCTAATAATTTATTATTATTAGACAAATATTATTTTATATATATAATAATAAAATAATAATAATTTAGGAATAAAGAACCTTCAATGATTGCCTCTCCCTCCGCTTTTGCCACATCACATAACGCAACATTTTTTATTTTATTTTTTAGTGAACATACCGCAACATATATGACCACATTAGTTGCAATGCAATTGTGACCGTAACCAAAAAATTAAAACCCTGATTTTGATAGATTTGGAATTTTGAATAGATATAGAAATGAGTACAGAACAAAATGTTTAATAAGTTGGGTTTACGATTTATCAATCAAAGTACATAGACAAAACACACTCACCAAATTAGTTCCGATACCTAACTTGGGGGCCCCAGAAGTCTTTATGAACTTGATGTGTAACACTGAAAATGGTTCTTTCATTATTTGATCTTGATATTTAACAGTACACTCTTGATATGAGTTCATCCATTATTTGGTCTTTAATCTGATCATGTGATCGATGCAAGAAAAAATAAATTTGGATCCTATCTCGATGTTTATAGAATAGCTGAGTTATAATTCTTTATGTTATTCCAAAAGTCAGGGAAATAAAACACAGAAATATGTAACAGCATTCCCCAATTATTTAAGACCAGCAAAAGATTTAGAATCATTAGCTAGCCTTTG